TTTTTTCAACGTTTATTTATTTTTGGGACAGAGAGAGACAGAGCATGAACAGGCGAGGGGCAGAGAGAGAGGGAGACACAGAATCAGAAACAGGCTCCAGGCTCTGAGCCATCAGCCCAGAGCCCGACGCGGGGCTCGAACTCACGGACCGCGAGATCGTGACCTGGCTGAAGTCGGACGCTTAACCGACTGCGCCACCCAGGCGCCCCTGGAAATCCAGTTTTCAACAAATTACCACTTTATTATTATTTTTTAAATGTTTATTCATTTTTGAGAGAGAGAGAGTGTGCGCAGGGAAGGGGCAGAAAGAGAGGGAGACACAGAAGAGAGGGACAGGCTCCAGGCTTCGAGCTGTCATCAAAGAGCCCGATGTGGGGCTCAAACCCACGAACTGTGAGATCGTAACCTGAGCCGAAGTCGGACACTTAACCAACTGAGCCACCCAGGTGCCCCACAAATTATCACTTTAAAAATGAAACAGTTAATAAGAAAGTTTAACAAGGTTGATAGAAATAAAATCAATATTGAAACTTAATTTTATTTCTAGATACTAGGAACAAAGAGAATCAAAATTTAAAAAGATACCATTTATGGTAGTCTAACGATACAAAGTCCCATGACGAATTTACAAATCTTTATTGGGAGACACCTATGTAGACGAAGAAACAGAGTATATTCATAGATTGCTGAACCAGTATCAGAAAATTCTCACTTCTTCTGAAATTTGATCTACAGATTCAATACAATGGAAAAGGTAAGAACAGCCAAGAGACTTGTGGACAAGATGCAGGACATGTCTTTCCAGATTATCAAGACTATTTAAATGCCATATGGTATAATTAAGAAAGGGTGGTGGTATTGGCCCAAGGATAGACAGACTCTTGTATACACACTCAAAAGAGGTGACACACAGCAGCACAGCAATGGAGAAAGGAAGTACTTTTCACTTCCCTTCACCTTTCCCTTATAGTGCTAGAAAAATTCTCCATTAGTTCATCCAAGTGCAACTCTTCCAGTTAATCAAACCATTTACTCCATGAAGGGAGAAAAGGTGATGCTAGGTAAGAGTGAGATATTACCTTTAAAGTAGCCATAGTATTGAAGATGATGGTACATAAAGTCTTCATAGGGATCAGGAAGAGTCTGTGAAAGGAAAAGTCATCTCAATCACGAAAGTCCTTTCAAGTAATATTGAACTCTTAACAAAAGGCACACAAAAAGTGTTTGTTGCAAAGGACAGTATACCCAAGGATTCTGTAAACAAACCGAGTGAAAGACATTCATGCAAATTATTCTATCTTGGGGATCAAGATCTCCTGCCGGAAAAAGGTGCCACCAGAATATACCTTCTGATATAGAAGTACTGGATTTCTGTGGAGTTCCTGGAGAGGGGAGTGTACCAACCTCCTGCTTTACCTCTGTTTCCAGTGCTGGGAACATGTTACTTCTGCATTCTATGCTGAAGACAAGTCAGTGACACCGGCATCCAGCCACAACCCCCGCCCGATTTCCAAAAGGGCAGCTGATTACACAGAAGCTAAAACACCAGAACAGGACAACTGAAAAAAACTGCCGATATTCTCCCCCACCCTCCTCCACCTGCGCGGCTCTCACGCGAATTTTAGGAAACCCTGCCGCATCGCTCCCTCTTCCCGGCCAACCCAGCTTCTCACACATACAAGCACCTGGCTACTGGTTCCCAGTCTGAGGCTCGGAGGCACACCTGAGGAACTAGGGAGGGCGGTTTGTCTTCCAGCCTCTGCCTCCGGAGGCGCCTGGACCTTTGCTGGTCTCATGCTTCCTCTCCGAGGAGGGAGATGCCCACCACCAGGACGCAACAGGAAAGTGAAAGAATTGCGAATGGGGGGTGGGGGGTAGATGGATGCGACGGAGTCGCCTCGGGGTAGAGAAGGAAGGTCAGGGGCCCGCAGTGTGGGCCCGCGAAAACGGGACCCAGGGGTTCAGGGCTTTCTGGTGCTGGAGAAGGAGGTGAGGGGCAGTTTCCCGAAGAATAGGGGCGGGGGCGTGGAGATTTCCTAGAAAGGCAAGGGAAGGGTGCGATCGCCTCCGCTCTCCGGCCCGTCCCGGGCAAAGGAGCCTAAGCCAGGCGGGAGGCCACCTCACTGCAGGGACAGCTGCCGAAACGCTCAGCGCCCAGAGAACAGCCCAGAGAACACGCTTGCAGCACTCGCCCGCCGCGGCTTTCTGTTGCTAGGGCCCCGGTAGCCTAGCAACGACGGAGCGGAAGTGGGAGAGCAGGGTGGCCGGACGCTTCCGGGGAGCGAGGCCCCGCCTCCAGGGTATGAGGGAGGAGCCTAGAAAAGGTGGAAGACTGGCCAGCCTCCAGCTCTTCACACTGATTCCTCCTTTCAGTTGCAGCCCCGCTTCTGGGGAACCAAAATTAGACCGGTGAATACAGTATCAGTTAGCAGGCCTCAAAAGTAATTCCAGACTTCTTTGCCATTCCTTAGGTTTAGGTAACTGGTAAGTGTTGCTCAGATGGAGCGGATTCCCCTTTTCTTTGACCTTATAGTCTCACCAGCCCATAGCTAGAATTGAAAAATTACAAAACTGAAACCACACATTTTGACCATGGAATTATCGGACTTTAGAAAGTGCTCCATTCTGTTAAGATAATGACAAACGTACTGGTGCTCTGCAACAACTCCTACACGTCTAGAGAACTGCTAGGGAGTTAAAAGCTTTGCTAGTTGGTAGCTTTTCTAGAAATTTGCTCTAGTAAAATTATAAGAAAAAGTTTATATACAAAATGTCACCCCAACACTTGCATTAATCGTAAATAAAATAAAACACACTGATATACAGGACACCCAGTAGGCAAAACTCCTATGCATATAAATGTACTGGAATAAAAATCAAACTATTAACTGTTGTCTTTGGTTAATTTTATATGAATATAACCAAAGTAGAGGTCACTTTTATAGTCAGAGGGAATAAAGCAATCTTAAAATGTTAACCACATTACATCATTTCCAGGATTTTAGGTCAAACGTTAGCTAATATTATAGTATACAAGCTCCAAAATTTAAGTCACAGAGTACCTTCTGGGGCTAGAAGCCTGTTTTCTCACCGTCCCCACAGCTCTCCCACCCACAAATGACTCAAGATCCTGCTGGTCTTTTTCCCAAGAGCTGTTCTCTTCAGTGTTTACACATGCGTTATGCTGTATTTGATAAATGACAAGTATGACTGGACTTAAAGTCTTGATTGTACAATCATGATATAACAGGCTTGGAAGAGCAAGGATAACCAATCAGAAGTATAAAAAAAGCTTTATTAGTGCATATATACAAATTTACAAGGTCAGAAACTGGAGAAATACAAACAGCTTTAAAACACAATTTGCCTTTTCTTCAGTTTAAAGTGACTTTTACCTGATTGTGATACAATAGAAAGTACAGAACAGTAAACTGCTTTTTAAATACTGGAATTTTATGGAGAGTACATTCACATAAAAGGGAGGTGAATTTTGGAACAAGGTTAAGACAATGGAGACACATTAATACATACAGTGGCTCTTGTTACATTTACTGCCACACATGTGAGGGGGGAAATCCTCAAAATTAAAGATATGAACACCTGCTGCTGCCTGTATTGAGATTTAAATATGCCACTAGTGTGTGAAATGACTGAGCTATCAGTTCTAGAATCTGTGAGAATCCTCTAAAGAGTGTGGCCATCTGTCAGCACAAGGTAAACACCTCAATATACCTCAGCACTTCAGGGGTGGCAGGCTAGAAGAAGACGTCAGAGATTCCGATAATCCCAGTTAAGCAAAACAGAATACAGAGCTGCCTTCTTAATTGCACTTGTTCTGGAGTAGAAGTTAATGAGAGAGAGCCACACTAGGAACTAAATGAGCCTCTACTAGACAGGAAAGTCCTTCACTTTTTGTCAGTGAGTCCTCCACTGAGGTATTTATACTCATGAACCACATGTTCCCAATCAGAGGTTAATGTACCTAATACGCTGAGTTTGCCAGTGTGAAAATAAAGGCAGCCATGTCAAAGCATTCAGTCAACCTCACCTCACCCTTCAGCAAAACAGAAAAATTACATTTCACAAATGTGAAAACTTTGTATGTGTATGCTTTTGCCCAGGAAATTTATATGCTCTCCCTCATAACATTTAGTTTACTGACGACAGTAAAACTGGTTAAGACTCTGAACTGAATGCACAAAAAAACAAACAAACAAAAAAACCTATAAAAAAAGCACCCCCACCCCACCCCAAACTATGTGTTTGGAGCCATTTTCCTTCTCTTCAGTCTTGCTCGCCAATCCTCAGGAAGCGCTTCAAAATTAGCGTTTCTCTCTGCCATGCCACTGTGAAAACAACATACAGATTATTCACTGGAAAGAAAAAATATGAAACTGTTTATTTCCTAACAAAAGCCACTGCCTAACACTGAAAATCTGACCCATCACAACTACGTTCATTACAATGCTTCAAAAGTTTCTCAGGAGTGCCTGGGTGGCTCAGTCAGTTAAGCGTCCAACTCTGGATTATGGCTCAGGTCAGGAGGTCAAGAACTGAGATCAAGCCTCTGCAATGACGTCTCCTTCCTCCTCTTTCTCT